AGGAGGTCTCCCCTCAGCCTCCTCTTCTCCAGACTGAACCCCCCCAGTTCCCCCAGCCGCTCCCCAGCAGACCTGTGCTCCAGACCCTGCCCCAGCTCCCTTGCCCTTCTCTGGCCACGCTCGATTCATTCAATGGCCTTTTTGGGGTGAGGGGCCCAAGACTGAACCCACCCATCGAGGGGCGGCCTCCCCAGTGCTGAGCCCAGGGCTCAGATCCCTTCCCTGTCCCTGCTGGCCACGCCAGTGCTAACACAAGCCAGGATGCCTTTGGCCTTCTTGGCCCCCTGGGCACACTGCTGGCTCCTGTTCAGCCAGCTGTCAATCACCTTCCCCAGGTCCCTCTCTGACTGGCAGCTCTCCAGCCACTCCTCCCCAGGCCTGTAGCCCTGCTGGGGGTTGTTGTGGCCCAAGAGCAGCACCTGGTGTTTGGCCCTTATTGAAACCCCTCCTGAGGACCATCCCTGAGAGGCAACAGTCCGTGGTGGGGACGCTGGGTGAGGGGGATGGAGAGCCTGGGCATTCAGGGGAGCTGGTTTCTTTAGCACCAGCCCTAGGAGAAGTTCCTCCAGAGATGACTGGTCACCTCCAAGACAGGCTCTCAGCCCTTGGCTTCACCACCATGGCTTCCCTCTGGCCCAAAGTTCACCCCTTGTGCTGACACATTCCCCCACCCCCTTTACAAATATCACACCGATGGGGGAAAAAAAAAAAAAAAAACAAACCACCAAACCAACTTTTTTTCATCTCGGACTTACACCAGATACACAACGTCAGCGTTCTTGTTGCAAGTCTTCAGCACATTCGTCACCAAATCAAATGTTTCCTCCGGCTGAAATCCTGGCTTCATGTAGAGACACTGCAAAAGGCAAACACGCAGCGTAAGATCAGCAGAATCATCTCCCGGCTACGTGGGGGACAAGTATTATGGAATATCAGCACTGCACGGACACCGGGTTAGACAGCAGAATTAAGCAGATCCACGTCTGGATGTCTCTGCGTGGAATTCTTGATTCCGAATCCTTATTTTATACTCAAATATAAATAGTCTTTGTCTCTTAGATGGTTTTTCTATTTTTTTCCCATTCCTAAGCCCTCCTTCCAGCTGGGAGCTGAGGTCCTCAGGAAGAGAAGAGCCCTCTCAAGCTACCCAGCCCCAAGACGCCCCAGGGAACACCTACATTCCAGAGGTAGATGAACTGCTTCACCACAAGCCTCAGGAGTTTCTCCTGCATTTGCATCTCATTGTCCAGCAGGTGGTCAATCAACATGTAGACAATGTTGGTGCAGGTCCAGTGATGTCTGGAAAACACAAAAAAAAACCCAAAAAAAGAAAAAGATGGGGTTAGGTTGGAGCACAGACCTCCCACGGTCCCTTCCCACTGGCCTGTCTGTGAGTCACCCCCGGGGGTATGTGGTCACAGCAGGACACGAGAGCTCCTGAGGCAGCATGAGAAGGAGAAAGACACGGCATGGTCCTGCCTACGTGGCTCACTTCAATGAATCTTGAGCCAAACTGAAACCGTCAGCCCATTTCTAGGTGTGGTGGTCCCTGGAGAGAGCTCCTCGTGCCACTGCCAAAAGGATTTTGGCCCAAGCAAGGAGAAATTCCACCAGAACTAAGCAACAAAACATCCACCATTTTTGGGGTTTTTGGAGCCACTTTGTCACCGTTGTGATAATGAGGAAGGAGCAGGAAGGAAGTGTCAGCTGGAAGATCTGTGACTATGGCTCCTCAGGAGGAGTGTGGTTACGGTCACCTGACCATCAGACAGTGAGGAGTTTGCTTGTGCTACAGTCACAGAATCCCAGAGTCACCTTGGTTGGAAAAGCCCTTGAAGCTCCTCCAGACCAACCATGACCCTCCCCCTGACCCTTCCCAACTGCCCCAGATCCCTCAGCACTGGGTCACCCCGACTCTTCAACCCCCCCAGGGATCCCGGGGATTCCCCCCCTGCCCTGGGCAGCCCATTCCAACGCCCAACAGCCCCTTCTGCACAGAAATCCTTCCTCAGAGCCAGCCTGACCCTGCCCTGGGCAGCTTGAGGCCATTCCCTCGGGGCCTGGCGCTGGCTCCTTGGCTCCAGAGACTCATCCCCCCTCTCTGCACCCTCCTGGCAGGGAGTTGCAGAGGGCCAGGAGGTCTCCCCTCAGCCTCCTCTTCTCCAGACTGAACCCCCCCAGTTCCCCCAGCCGCTCCCCAGCAGACCTGTGCTCCAGACCCTGCCCCAGCTCCGTTGCCCTTCTCTGGCCACACTCGAGTCATTCAATGGCCTTTTTGGGGTGAGGGGCCCAGAACTGAACCCACCCATTGAGGGGCGGCTTCACCAGTGCCGAGCCCAGGGCTCAGATCCCTTCCCTGTCCCTGCTGGCCACGCCAGTGCTAACACAAGCCAGGATGCCATTGGCCTTCTTGGCCCCCTGGGCACACTGCTGGCTCCTGTTCAGCCAGCTGTCAATCAATCCCCCCAGTCCCTCTCTGACTGGCAGCTCTCCAGCCACTCCTCCCCAGGCCTGTAGCCCTGCTGGGGGTTGTTGTGGCCCAAGGGCCGCCCCCGGCATTTGGCCTTATTAAACCTCCCCAAGTTGGGCTCAGCCCATCGCTCCAGCCTGCCCAGGTCTCTCTGCAGAGCCTCCCTACCCTCGAGCAGATCAACACTCCCCCTGCACTGGGTATCATCTGCAAACTGTCTGAGGGGACACTCCATCCCCTCGTCCAGATCATCAATAAAGATGTTGAAAGTCATCAGAGAGTGACCAAACTTACAACACTCTCTCAAGGAGTTGTTTCTTCTCCGGGTAGAACTGAAGCTGGTAGTTGTCCCGACTAATTGACTCCACCCAGGGCTTAATGGACTTGATATTTTTGAGCCACGCTATGCAGACATCAAAGGGCAGCAGCTCACTTTCGGAGGGTTGCACTTTCTTCAGGAGAACGTTTAGGATGTCGAGACTGACAAACTGAAATAATATTTGCGAAGAGAGAGAAAAAGAGTTGAAGGAAAGATCTGAGCTCGCTGGGGGGTGCCACAGAGGAAAGGGATTCTGCGGGACTGGGTGCTGGTGGAGCTCTGGGAGTAGCTGCTGGGGCTGAGTCAGAAAAAAAAATAGATTTCATGGGTGAAGTTCTGGCATCTGTAAACTTTTATGAGCCTAATTATGTCATGGATCTTGGAGGCACCACAGGAGTTCTAAACCCTCTGCTGGCTGCTCTAAGCAATCAGCACCGTAGGAGGGGTGTGGAGACGTGGCCATGGCAAGCTGAGGAGCTGGAGCCCACCACGACAAATTCCCCCCACTTTGAGGGTCAACGTGTCTGAGGGGATGTAAAAGAATTTTAAATATAAATTATATATAATCTGGAGTATTTGAGATAGATTTTAAGGCCTAGTGAAGTGTGTTCAGGATGGAGCAATCTCATCATATCACCAAGGCAACCGGGGTGCTGCTTGTATAGTCCTGGCCTCAGGCTGGTTTAAAACCCAGTCAAGCTGATCCTATGGAGACAGTTTTAACAAAGGAAGATTAAATGATTAAACATGGGGAGTTTGCTTCATTAAGAGAATTTAGGGTAGAGAAACCGCTCTCTCTACTTGAAATTTCATTGACCATCTTGAAGACTTTCTCAGGATTGTGCAAGATGAAAACTAGTGGAAGAAAGATGAAGAAGATGCCCCAAAAGATGACTCTGAAACTGAAGGATTGGAACCGGAAGAGAATTTGGATGAGAAAGGGGATTGTCGTGAACTTTAATCAATGAGAATCAAGAACTAAAAGGTTGAGGGAAAACTTATAAAAACTTTGGACTTGGGTAATAAATTTAGAAATAATATATAAATGCACAAGGCCTTCAGGTGTTGGCCACGCATTGAGGTGTTGGCCCGACTCTTGAGTTGTTACTAAACCTGCGCCTAGAGATCCCCCCAGTCTGGCATAATCCTTAACCAGGGGACTTCAACATGATACCCAGAGCATGGCGAAGATGGGGAGGTCTGACTAATTACGCAGCACCATCGTTAAACGACGGGAGTGGGGAAGGCCACCGCATTCGAACGCCGGAAGGGATGGGTTGGAGGGCAAGCACACAGCTCTGGGCTCACCATCTTCCTGCCGGGGTTCTCCTTGTACGTTGCCTGCAGCTCGTTCACGACGGTGTCGTTGCTTTTGGCGATGTCAACGAAGAGCTGATAATCATCGCGGAGGTAGAAATATTCCATGTGAAGCCAAATGGGGGAAAAAATCATCTTCTTCTCGCCCACAGAGAGGCAGAGTAGCTCTGCGCTGGTGAGGAAAGCTTGGGAAAGGATCTATGCGTAAAATAAAAAGTGTTATTTTTACTCAAAGCAACCAAAAAAGGGACTGGAATGGGACGTTCAGCATTGCTGTTGTATCTTGTATGAAGTTTCCTCATCAAAAATAGTTCTCAAGGTGGAATTAAGACTGACTGTTTGTAACAGCTGAAGAGTAGCCACAGAGTAGCACCAAGGAGGGCTTGTAAAAACACCAGATTTGGCCAGGACTAGGGCCAAAGTCAAGGCCAGTTGAACATGGTTCTCAACCCATCCCTACGGTGCTCCAACCAACCCTATAGTGCCCTACTCATCCCTACAGTGCTCAACCCAACCCTACAGTGCTCCACTCAACCTTACAGTGCTCATCTCCACTCTACGCTGCTCCACCCACCCCTACAGTGCTCCACCCATCCCTACGGTGCTCCACCCATCCCTACAGTGCTCAACCCAACCCTATGCTGCTCCACCCAACCTTATGATGCTCCACTCAACCCTACGGTGCTCAGCTGAACCCTACACTGCTCCACCCAACTCTACATTGCTCCACCCAACCCTATGCTGCTCCACCCAACCCTACTCACCTCATAGACAGAGTCATATTGTCCAGGAAAAGCCATCCTGACAAAGTCGTTGGCATAATAGCGGAGCATGTTTGGAGTGCAATCATCTGGCATCCAGACGTTCTTGATGATGTTTTGGTAGAACCTGGCCACTTCCCCCGTCAGGTTCTTGGGCTGGCCTAGAAGGGACAGTGAAGAGAGTTATGGCGGCTTAGCAGAACAGCAGAGCACGTTGTTAAGACCGAGGTGGATGTGAGGGCGAGCGCAAGGCCATGGGTGAAGAGTACAACACCTCCACTGGAAGCGGAGATACCACGCGGGGGGTTCCTCCTCCTAAGGATGCAAATTTGGGGCAGTTTTTGTGGTGTTAAAGCTCCCCCTAGAAAGCCTGATCTTACCTTTCATATGATAGACCTTCTCCCACACGTTGTCCAGGTAGGCTTTCAAAACCCAACTGAATGGGAACTGGCAGAAGAGGGAGGTGTTGGGGTCTTTGGTCATTGATAACACGGAAATCTTGGCTTCTGCCGCCCTTGAATTCAAACAGCACAGAAAAAAGCATTAAACTGCGCAACAGACCGTAGGCATCCAGAGTAGGAGCACCTCAGAGAAGTTCCCAACTCCCACTGATGTGTTTTCTTTAAAGTTGCTCAGAAACTTGAGGAGAAATTTGGTTGGACAGTCAGGGAAATGGGGCAAGACCAAAGAAAGAGTGAATTTTGTCAACAGCTTACAACAACCGGGAAGTTTTGGTGCCAGTTTTGGCAAGGCTGAGTCAAGCATGAGCTACTATTTCCCTACAACCATCAGCTTTTACTCTGCTAAGGAAAACCACCTCCATGTAATATTTACACCCCGTCTCTTACTTTCTGGTGTATTTAATTTTTAGGAACGTTTCGTCTTGGAACATCTGGAGCCAGAGTTCTGCGAGCGGAGAGCCTTGGGAGATGTGATCCAGGTTGTTGTTGGCATCCACCACAGCGAGAATTTGGGCAAAGACGTTCATCACAATGTCCTCCAGGTGCATCCAAAGCGCTTGCCTGTGAAAGGAGAGGCCACACCTCCTTGATTCCCTGCCCCCCACCAAAAATAAAAAACCCTTGGCTTCACTCTCAAAGACCCACAAATCAACCAAAATAATCCAACTGCTTCTGAAGATGCCAAATGTGGACGTCCAAGCTTGACACCAACCACCCTTTTCTATTTCAGAGTCAACTGATGTTGTTGGCTTCCAAACAAGCCCTTTCCAAAGAAGATTCCTCAAAATCAACAGCGCTCTTAATTAATTTGTTACTTTTTAGGACCTTTCAGCAAGTCCCTACCTTGGTCTGGTGAAAACCCCACGTATTCAGAGACTTCTCGGTTGCCACGTCTTGATCTTTAAGCAAGGTGCCTCCCACTTCACGCCGAGCAGTTTTAGGACCAGAATTACCCGACGCGGGGGAAGTGGCCCACAGCCAGCCCTACCTGAACGACGTGTCCTCCAGGATGAATTCCACAGAGAGCGCCCTGCGGAAAATCCATTCCCTCGGCTTTTGGATCAGTTTCTCTCGTTCTTGTAGGAGGTAACAAATCCTCTTCTTCAGGATGGTCATGAAGCGGCTGGAAACTAATCACAAAAGAGCTGGCTAAAACCCTCCTGGCACTCATCTCCAAGTCAGGAGACCATCAAAATCCTTTTCCACTCAAAAATCTCACTGCCTAGGATATTTTTTTAGCAGTTCTATGCACAAATCAACTCCCACTAGCCGGTGACGACTGTCTGGGATCATCTACCAAGGTCTGCAGCAAAGCTTTGTGGTTTAGTCCAGAGTCTAATCCCATGCATGAGGAACGGTGTGGGGCCCCCCTGCAACCTCCCCCTCTGTCTCCTGGAGGCTTCCCCATCCACGATGGCTTTGAGTGGCACCAGAAGTGGCTCTTAACCCGCTCGTTGTCTTCTTCCAGCCATAGAGTTTGCAACGGTCAAAGAGCCACTTTTAAGTGCTCTCGACTCACACGTACCATCACTCTGAGCATGGAAAATCAAGTTGTGAAGGATCTTGATTCTCTCCATTGGACGCTGGCTGTTGTCCTTCTTGTCCTCTAGCTGGATCACGGCCTTCTGGATGCTCCCTTTGATCATTGCCTCCATGTTGAGGAACTGTGGTTGGAAAAGACGGGAGGTCAGTTGGTTTCTCAACACTACTTTAGCCTGGGGACGCTTCTCCTAGGACATCAGCTTCTCCAGCTCCAAGGTCTGTACCCATCTCACCATCCCAACAAACCCTGGGTAAGTCCCTCCCAGGGGCGTGGAGGGCTGCTGGTGTCTCTGGGAAGGGACATGGATTTGTTGAGTGACAAAAGGCTTCTGGGCCTTTGTACCGGTCACTCAGAGAGGGGCTGGGAGACCACCACCCTGCTTGGATCTCGCAGCAGGACCCAGGAAGATCTGAGGTTAGTTTTTCCTGTGAGAAGGGACCAGCCCCAGCGAGGACCTTCGAAAGCAGATCTGGTGATACCCAAGCCAGCTCCTACACAGTGCCAAGCAACTAAAATGAGGGGAAAAAAAGAAAAAAGAAAAAAAACCTACGTTTTCCTCTGGGTAAAGACCTGTGTCAGTGAGGCTTCTCGAGGCAGCAGAATTCTCTGGAGAACCTGAAATCACAATCAACCACACGACGCAGCCATCAAAACCCCAACAAGAGATAGATGCACCCATGAGAGGTGGCTGGGGGTTGGGGCCTTGACAATCAACAGAGAGAAATAAGGCAGCCCTGGGGTGGAAAACAGTTTCTTGATGACATGAGCCCCTCAAATTTGGGGAGGAAACCTGTTGGAAGTGTGGGAAAAGCAAAACAGTGAAAAATCTGTAAAACACACATTTCCTTGACACAGGGTGCCCAGAACAGACACAGGATGGGATGAAGATTCAGGGATTTGTGTTGCCACGGTGCCAAGGAGGGACACGGAGCAAGGTGGAGGCCTCACAGTCCCGTTCCTTCACTTCTCTCAAGGACAGGTTTATCTCTGCTCTTCCCCTTCTCTCCAGGATGGTCTGGCAGTAGTCTGGCACCTTGTCTCTCATTCTTCCTCTTTTCCCCAAAAAAAACCAGTTCACCCCTCGCACCAAGGAACGTGCTGTCTCATTGCTCCAGAGATAACAGCTTGACCACAGTCCCACTCACTCACAAAGATAAATCCTACCCCAAGTTTGTGTCTAACTTGGAGGGACGATAATCTGATCCCAGATCGGAGGGACAGATCAACGGGTTTGTGCTCCTCGCCCCCCCCC